TTTTTTAAGTTTTGAATGATAATTTTAACTTTAAAAAAGAAAAGAGAGGGTGTGTGGAACGAAATGTTTCAACTTGTTTTGCTATTACACGACTCACCCATGCTTGATATATGTTTATTAATCCATCAATCAAAATTTAGAGCATTTTTGCTTTTGTTCAATATGTCAGATATGCACTTGATAATCTCTTCACAAAGTTCGTATTAAATAACTTCATTTGTGCAATATAGGATTATTTCTTAAAAAATCTAAACATGTGCAAACTAAAATTTTACATCAAAAATACATGAACTCAATGAATATTCAAATTTTAACATGCATTTAAATTACCCTTCTGATTTTATACACATCGTAGTAGTTCGTTGTATTTTGGTTTATATCCTTGGAAATCAAAAACATTTTTTTTTTTTTTTAATTCATTACATAATTCATTTCTCTCTCCCTTCCAAACTAGAAAATACTAGAAATTTTGTAAAGAAACGAAGTAAATTGAAAGTTTCAAGCTAATGGAGAGAATTTTTATTGGCCAATTTCTTCGTCTCACAGTAGTGAAAGTATGATATGAATTTGAACAACAATACCATATCATCTGAATCGCTCAAATTTCTTTCACATCCCAATTATTTCATTTTTAAATTTATTTATTATTGGAGTAATAAAGAAAATATCATAGTTTCAAGTTTCTTATTTGCAAGAAATTTCAATATATGTTGTTTATTTCTTGAAATTAAACACTGTCCCACTGGGATTATATGAATATTTTTGAAGTGGGAAGAAAAAAAAAAAAACAAATAAACATACATATACACAGAGAGATTTAAGTTAATTTTCTTATGCAACTTTCCCTCTAAAACAATTTTCACTTGGCTTAAGGCCAGTTAATTCCTTAAATCAAGTTTTTTTTTTTTTTTTTTTTTTTTTGTTGCTCTTAATGGTAAAATGACCGAGAAATAGTGTTACATAGTACTATAATGTAGTAAAAATTCATATTTCTGAAATTTAATTTTAGAACCGATGAGGGTAATGGACCGTGAAGATACCTGAAAATGCCTAATATTATAATATAAGTAAATAACTAAATATATGTGTATATCGATGTGCGTGTACATTTCTCAGTTAGTTCCAGTCGTTTGGAGGTGATATAAAGAATAGAAGCATATGAAAAGTCTATAAATTATTCAAGTGCAAAATCGATGTAGTGTAATGAGGCGAAATTTTCCATATAAATTAATTGATTTGCAACAACAAATTTAATATGAAATACAATGTGACATCAGAATAAAAACTAAATATTAATGTGTTCAAGAATAGATTTTTTTTTTTAAATTTATCTACAAATATTGTTGATTACTTGTCATTTGTATCACTTAAAAAATAAAAATAAAGACAAAAAAAAAGTAATTCATTTATCATGTCTGCATTTCTTTATATTATTATTATCAATATCCATTTCTCGCAATTGCTTATATGAAGAATGACAGCATATATACATTTTTTTTTCATCACTCGCTTTTCCTCTTCTCTCCCAAATCTTTTTGATCAATATCTTCAAAAAGGCTTATGTATTAAATTTTGAAATCCTTTTTTTAAATTAGTCGGAGAGTAAATTCGTTATTTTAATTTAATTGCAATATCAAATTAGAATATGATGCAATCAGTGAATGAATTAAATATTAAAATTAAATATAATATTCAGTACAATTTTTCCCTTATGTTAATTAAAATTGCAGCATAATCAAAATAATTTAAGTCTCGCTCGAAAATTATTCATCCATTTTTCACAATCATCCATTTTGATTAACAATTACATCCCTAAATACCGTTTTACGTAATAAAAGAATGAAGCAACCTGCATCTCATTAATAACAGAGTGGATATGTTTGCCTTAATAAATTATCAGATTTTTTACCACTTGATCTTGCTAATCAATCAAATCCTAGAATTAGCCTAAATAACTTAATTCTCAAAGAATATTTATTCAAAGTTCTTATTAACAATATTTACAGGAATGATAATAATAACTATTAATGAGTATCGTTTCAAAAATTTCTTCCACTATCAGATTGTATGAAATGAAATAAATCTCCTGATAAGATCATAATTTTTCCTAGAAGAAGAATAAATATCAGTCATAACTATTTATTTACATGAAATGATAATGAGAATGAAAGATTCCCAGATGGTTTAAAATGAATTATGAGCAGTAATTTTCAAAGTCTATGTAAAATTCACTTTGCTCGAATAGCATGAAATTTTACAATGTGGTCAAAAAAGTAATAGTATGTTTACTATCATTATTTAAAATATAATTTGATTGATTTTTTTTTTTGTGAGGCTAAGAGATAAAAATGATTAAAATTTATCTTAGAGCATTTAATCGTGCCGATAAAAAAATTATCCGTTTCTCATTCACAGATCCACACAATCCATACTTCCTCTCCTTTGCAAATATCTTCGAAATCATTCAACTATTTCTATCTTTATCATTTATCCATTCGTTTAGTTCATACTTTTCCTTTTTTACTTACAGTAATTTCTTATTAATTTCATATTTTTTGCATATAATAAATTCTTTTTTTTTTTGGTTTAAAAAACATGGAAGTGATTCATTTGAGGAAGCAATTCTGTAAGATTCCGGAAAAGACTGAGCCAAGCCAGATTAGCTGCTAAATAAATTAAATCAAAATCTCGCAAATGTGTACCACTACTTGCTACCACTGCTATTGAAAGCTAGGAAATGTTTTCCCTCACACTTAAATCCTTTTGTTTTTAAGCCATTGATCCAAAATCTTCCCTACTTCTCTTCTCTTTTTCTTCATTTTCTTTATTATATTGCGGAAAATCAATGCTAACTCCGGTGGCTTTCACCTTCATAGTTTCATTAATTGCAGTCTAACATTTATCCTTTCCCACTTCATTCATTTACCTTTTCTTTTTCTTTTATTGTCAGCTCTACTACAATCATTTCACACAAAAATCACAATAGTAATATCATTACAGATAAGGGAATGCATCGATGGCACTTTTTCCTTTCATTCCACTTTCTTTTAATTAAAGAAAGTTATGTATTTCGAAATATTAATTTATTAGTGATAAAAATGAGGTACATATTAAAAAAAATTTTTTTGTGTTATAAGCTATCACAAAAATGTTTATAGCTTTTTATTTTCCATTTTTTGGCGTGACGTGTAAAAGATCAAAGGGATGATCGATGGTCGTAGTATTATCTCAGCTTAGTCATATGTTTTCTTCCTTCATAAATTACTGAAATATTTGAAAAAGTGGTAATTAGAAATTTTCAATCAGTTAATGCCAGGTCTTTCAACAAATCCACTGATCAACGGATGATAAAAGTGGGAGTTAGATAAAATAAAATAACTTTGCTTCTCATCCTTTTTCTTTTTCATATTCTTTCCCATTCATCGGTTGTACATTTCCAGTAGCTCTCGAATTCTTCCATTTCTACATTTTTGATGAGTATCAAGTTGATTTGTTGTCCAGCTGATTGCATGCTATACTATTTAGAAGACATATTATTTTTGAAAATATTTCGCTGAATTTTCAATTTGTTGCCGGAAAAGTACTAGAAGCTTTACAAATTTTGCTCTCAATGACATCAATATTTATCGGGAGGATGTTTGCTGTGTGATAGAATTTTAAAATATCTGAAAAGAAAAACTTTGGTCTATATAATTTTTGAATGAAGTCTTGAAAAACTTTTATGTCTCTTCTAAAGTACATTGAAATGAAAAGGTGGAATAAAATAGAGAACAAACCAAACGGTTTAAACTTTTGAAATATAAAATGAGCCAAAAAAAAAAAGAAAACGGACAACATATTGCTAAAAGTTGGAAATATATTCTGTGTTATACATACATGAACACTTTTTTTATCCATTCTCGTTTGTTTTAAAATTGTATGCATCGGAATTATTGGAAAAGATTTCTGAACAGGACATTATCCACAAAACATTGTTCTACAATTAAAGATTATCTTTCGAGAATGTTTGCTAATATTTCTTTTTTTCATCATTTACATTCCATTTTTCACTGTTTAAATATTTCATTATGTGCATACCTTATTAGATAGCAGCCAAGTTTGTTAACAATTAACTTTTCATTTACCTATCAGCATAGTTTATTCAACTGGAATGAGATGTTGACAACATTTAAATTAATTGTACTATAATTTTGTATTTCATGCTATTTTTCTTGCAATTTATAATATTTCATCTAAAATTAAAATTCTGACTGCTCATATTTTCATTTCAACTTATGATACCATTTCTTAGCGCTTATGGATGAAAATTTATTGGTGGATTATTTTTTCCCCTTGAATTTCCGATTTCGTTTTTCTTTACTTAAAGCAATTTTCATTTCATCCATTTTTAAATAATGAGCGAGCAAATAACGAAGTTTAAAACTTTAATGTCTAGAAAAAATTTTTACATTTTTGAATTTAACAGAATACTATGTAAAATGCTATGTAAGGGTTTCAGCAAAAAAAAAAAAAAAAGAAAATCATATATTTAATTCGTCCTTTCAGTACTACTACAGTAATGAAGTTTTAAAAATGATTTAGTTGTATCATTACTGACAACGTTTGATTCACCTTGCATATCAAGTAATTAAATTTCATCAGTGTTTACTTACGATTTCAAAAAACCGCTAAAATAGAAATTTCTATGAATTGCTGACAAACAGTTTCAGCTTTTGATAAACTGATGTGAATGCCATTGCTGTAATACTTTATAATAGTTCATAAGAAGTTCTAAAAATGCAATTGGTGTACTCACTTTCGATACATTACACAGTATCACTCAGCAATTTCACGAAATTTTGCCACAGCTTCACTACCAAGTAGTAAATCGAGAAATTTTTAAGAGAAAATAATGAAATGATGAATAAAACTGAAAAAATATTGCAGATGAGACTTGCCGAAGAGAAATACTAAATGAACTTAGGTAGTAATTCCTGAATAATGACATAACATAATTCACAATGCTCCAACAACCAGTATCGAGGGAATTACGCTCATTTCAATCACTTTCACGTTTTTCTGGACCACGCGGATTGCTAAGCAGGCGTCAATCGAATTCTAGACGCTATTTGCAATCACGGCGCAGAACTACCGAAGCTTACGTGGGTGATTCCCAGGTATATCATTTATCGAACAATATACTAATTTTATACAGTAAGCATGAAAGGAAAAATCCGACAAAATAATAAATTGATTGATAAAGTGGTTTTGAGTCCCCATAATAAATAATATAATAATACTGTACTTCTAAATATAGGTAGACCAAGTTGGCTACATATACTTGATCAAATTTGTTTAGCACAAATTTCCTGAAGTCTTTTGAGAGATTAGCAAACAGTGAAAAATCATTCATATTACATGTCCTATAGCATCACATTACTTTAATATGGTTACATTATAGATTCAATAGTATTTTTGATTAACCAATTCCAGGTGCTGTCAGCACTGGGACCTGGCTCATCCACGGAATATAGAGGCTTCTTGCCAACTAGGAAGAAAACTTTCTCATTATCTATGGAAGTAAGCCCATTACGACCATGGTGTGATAGTATTTTGGAAGACGATTGTCAGAAACAAACCCAAGTTGGTTGGGATAGTGAAGCGGATATTATTGACGATGAATGCGATTTACCCTATCCAGGGTATTTTTTTTTCCTTCCAGTTAAATTAATGATTGCTTTTCGGGAAGATTGAAAATTCACAGCTAATCACAAGCCTTATACTGCTTATGGCGAGCAATAAACCACGTTCATGCACGTTATGGATAAAGTTCTCCTATTTCATTTCCTCAGCAAAAAAGAAAACACAATAAATAAATAAACTTGATGAAAATTAATAAATCGTAAATGTCGAATGGTATTATTTAATCTTACCTAAGAATAAAATGAAGTAATTATTACCTTATAATTTTTATATATTACAAAATAAAGTAAAGAAAAAATTAAAAATTATAGATCTCAAACATAATCAATATTAAGATTTACCGAACTAGCCTTATACTGTTTACGGCAAGCAGTACCACCACGTTCATGGGCGTTACGGATGGTTATGAATCCGTGGTTTGATCGGATAACAATGTTTGTTATTTTGGTCAACTGTGTAACGCTTGGAATGTATCGGCCATGTGAGGATAATGATAATTGTACGACATATCGTTGCTACGTTCTCTCAACTATTGATCATATCATTTTTGCATATTTTGCTATAGAAATGGTTTGTTCTAAACTTTACTTATTTGTTTATTTTTAAAAAGTTGAATAAAAAATCCATTAAATTTTTATAATATTTCAATTTGAAGGATAATATTAAAACTTACCAAAAGGAGAAAAGAAAAAATCAACATTTCTAGATGATCAAAATAGTTGCACTCGGGTTCTATGGCTCAGCCGCTTATCTTTCTGATACTTGGAATCGCCTTGATTTTTTTATTGTTTGTGCAGGGTATTTTTTAATTTTTCTTTTTTGTTGTATTTTATCACATACCATTTCTTTTTTTTTCCTGCTTATATTAAATTTCATTTTTTTTTTTCCTTATTTGTCATGACAGTTATATTTGCAGCTTTTAATAAATTTTGTTCCTTTTTTTCCTGATGAATGGCTCATTCTAGTTTGAAATAATAAGAAATTGATAGTCGAATCTAAATATGTCAGTTGTGTTTACAATAATCCAGGCGCATAGCGTGTAAATCTTTGATGAAGTCTGGATCGAATCCAATCTTTTCATCTCTAAAAAAGATCCGGAAAAATATTGTTTAATACTCAGATATGTTAATATTAGGTTAATCTTTCAATCTTTTTTGTTTTTGAAATGATAATTTCATTATAAATTCCAGTCGGATTTTAGGTGTGCAGAATATCTATTACAAGAATATTTGGGTAATATAAATTTAACCGCTATACGAACAATTCGTGTACTTCGACCGTTACGTGCTGTCAATAGGATACCATCTATGAGAATTCTTGGTTTGTAGTAATAATTTCCAATTAATTATTCTACTTATAATGTCTAATGAGCAAAAAATTGGAGAAGAAAAAAGGGAAAAAAAAAAAAAAACGAAAGCCAATGAGAAAGAGGAAGTTGGTAGACATTAAAAAATATATTAATATTTTTGATTAAATTAAATTTTTGCAGTTAACCTATTATTGGACACATTACCGATGCTCGGCAATGTATTGTTGTTATGTTTCTTTGTCTTTTTCATATTTGGTATTGTTGGTGTTCAGTTATGGGCTGGACTACTTAGGTGACATTTTGAAGTTTCCTCAGGTTCAAAAAATATTTGATTAGTATACATATTTATTCAGTCGTAACATTATAATTTTGAATAAATCAGAATTTCTTGAGCAAAAATAAAAATTAAAGCATATTTTTGATATTTTAATTGTAAAAATTTTAATTCTTTCATTTCTTTGAAAAACGACAAAACAATGATAAATTTCAGAAATCGCTGTGTTATTAGCTTACCCAAAATAAATGCTGATATTGATGTCTCAGATATATCACTTACACGGTAAAAACTCCAACACTGTAATATATATTATAAGCTAATCATCGATCAGATCAATTAACAATATTATGTTTATTGATTAGATTAGATTATCAATGATGATATTATCTTTACTGGTTATTTCAGATCCCTTTAAACACTTTTTGTCTTAGATTTCTACTTTCTAATAGATCAATTGGTACTTAATTAGATTCTATTTTTTCATTAATAGTTTTCATTAATACATCTTTTCCATTGTAGATACTATATACCAGAGGACACCTCGCTAGAATATATATGTAGTCAAGCTGATTCATCAGGTCTTCATACATGCAATAATTTACCTCCTTACGTACACAACGGAGTTAAGTAAGGTTTCAAGTATCAACTTTAATTAATTTAAAATTCAGTTTCACTACAAATGAATAAAAATATTGTTGGAAATTCTATGCCAAAGTTGTTTATTTAAATTTGATTGTTTATTTTTGTCTAAACTAATGGAATTTTAACATATTATAAGGGATTTTAGAAAAATCAAAATTTTTATTAATGATGATTTAATTTTCTCGCAATAGTAAACTAATGAATATTAAATTTTTGTAAATATAAAATAATTAACTTGAAAAGTAAAGAATATTAAAATTAAAGGATATTAAAATTCAGTGCTTGACAGAATTAATAATTCAGCTTATTTAATTGAATTTGTTTAGAAACTATTAATTGTAATTTTAAATCTTTCATTTCTTTGAAAAAAGACAAAAAATGATAAATTTGATAATGAAATTTCTCAAATATTTCACTTTTCAGATGTAATTTAACAATACATGAATGGGCAAATGTAAAAAATGACACAACAGCGTGTGTAAATTGGAATGCTTACTATAATGAATGCAAAGTTATGCATCGTAATCCATTCCAAGGATCCATATCTTTTGATAATATTGGCTTCGCATGGATTGCTATCTTTCTCGTATCAATTTTTCCTTCCTTTTTTTTTTAAAGTCATTTTTCGCAATTTCAAAATATAGCATAAATTTTAATGTTATTTATATTTCGATCTGGTCACAGTGGATCTGATCAGAAACAATATATATTCTATAATCTCTGATTGATAAAATAACTAATAATAAAGTTAGTTTTGCATAGGTAATAAGCTTAGAAGGATGGACAGATATAATGTACTATGTACAAGATGCGCATTCATTTTGGAATTGGATATATTTTGTCTTACTGATTATTGTAAGTTTCTTGCATGTTAATGATATGTGTTAAAATAATTTTCATATTAAATTAGAATAGATGAAATGCTAAAATGATTATTTATTTACTTAGTATTAATTTATCAAATCATTAAAATAGAGTGTATTAATTTAAATTGAATTCAGTTTCCCCTTTTTCCATATAATGATAAGCTGCAGGTAGGAGCATTTTTCATGATCAATTTATGTTTGGTTGTTATTGCGACACAGTTTGCGGAAACGAAACGACGTGAAACAGAACGAATGATTGAAGAAAGAAAAAGACTACGATCATCAGGATCTCTTAGTCGGTATTTCTCGCCATCGCAAGTTTTTTAATTTCAAAATTTCATGTTCAAGAAAATGGCATTATTTAGGTAGTGATCCAGCTCATTCATCGAGAGATGGTGAAGGTGGTGACAGTGTTTATGCAGCTATAATCAAATCTATAAGACATTATTCTCGTCGATTGAAAAGACGATTTCTTAAGGTATCAATACATAAATATATGTGAAGCCTTACTCAAATATTTTATCATGCAAATAAAATGAGCTTAGATTAAGAGTAACGCTTATATAAGCGCTATTAGGAAATCTTTGTTTCAGCAATGGAAGATTTGGGAAGAACGTTTTGCAACGAGACGAAAATTCTTCAAAGGTCTTTCTAATGACACTCATCCAAAAGCTGGAAATTCTGAAGAAACGAAGACGAAAGATATTCAAGTTACTAATGCTGCTACAAGTAATACAACCAGTTTGAAATTAAATGATGGACATAAACTTATATTTGTGACATTTTGTCCATCACCTATTTAATGATACATTTACCTCTACATCTTCACTTTGTGACAAATTAAGCTTGCTCTAACTAAATATAGCACGAGGAAATTAATTGAAAGATTAAAAATGACAACGTTTTAAGTGATGAACAATTAAACGAATTTAACTTTTAACACTAACAATAAGAATTTGTTCCCTTTTCGAATTATAAAAATTTACAGCGATTTATAGATGATAAATTATTACCGTTGGAAAGTACTTATCATGAAGAAAGTAAATTGCAAAGCAGTGTTAAGAATCTGAAATGGAATGGAAGTATGAATGGTATGCTTTTCTTTTTGTATTTTTATCAAAATTTGATAAATTATTTCAAGAATTCAAAATTTGTGGAGTGAATTTGTTTAAAGTATTTCTTTTTGGTAGAATAATGCATTTTCTTACAAATTAACATCGCGATTGGTATATTTGTGACATTAAATGACAGATTGCACAACAAGCAGTGTAGAAAGCGACATGGAAATAGGTTCAACGAATGACAATCAGCTTACCTCTCTGAAAAAATCTCTTCGGGTGGGAGACTTGTCGAGTGGTGAGGAAAGTGATGTGGAACTTTCCGATCAATTATCCGGAACCGAAAGTGAGCTTGATTGTGACGTTGCTGGTGGTGTCGATAGCAGCGATGGCTGTGGTCATCATTCCCGCATTAAATCAGTAATATATATTCGTGATTTACATTTCTTTTTGATAATAAAATGAAGAAAAAGAACGAAATTTTGAAAATTAAATTTGAAATGGAAGAAATAAAACTTTTGCCTCATATAATCTATAATAGTCTAAACAACTTTTTAAGCAATATTCAAATTATTTATTGTATTATTTCTACCTGTTAAGGTGCTGATATATATTTTAAGGATAAGTTAACGAAAACAATTTCTACGCTATTTGGTCAACTCCGTAAAAAGCTTCGAGCATTTGTAGTTTGTAATCATTTCAAACGCGGTATTTTATTCGCTATTTTAATTAATACTCTCAGTATGGGTGTCGAGTACCATCAGCAGGTTTATTTCGATTAATGCATTAAATTACTAATGAATTACTGATAAAAAACTGTAGTTAATATTTGATAAAATATTGCTTCTAATTTTTAATCTGGACGTAACCAACATTAAATCCACTTTTAGCCTGAATTGCTGACAACAATCTTAGAAATCAGTAATTACTTTTTCACTGGTTTATTCGCATTGGAAATGTTGCTCAAAATAGGTGCAGATGGTTTATTTGGATATCTTTCTGATGGATTCAATCTTTTTGATGGTGGAATAGTTGCACTGAGGTAAAGCTTATTTTTAATTTGTTTAATCAAATTGAATTCTTGGATCTTCTCGGAAATGAAAATTTTGTAAGAGTTGAAATGTTTTATTTGAAAAAAAAGAAAAAAAAAAATAAGTTGTTGTTTGATTTTCACAGTGTGTTGGAATTGTTTCAAGAAGGAAAGGGAGGGTTATCAGTACTTCGAACATTTCGTCTACTTCGGATTTTAAAACTGGTCCGATTTATGCCAGCTTTACGGTATCAATTAGTTGTTATGTTACGTACAATGGATAATGTGACAGTATTCTTTGGATTACTTGTTCTGTTCATCTTTATTTTCAGGTATGCATGAGAACTGTGCAAACTTATTTACATAAAATTGTAAATGGAAGCATATTTAAGAAATTGACTAAATTTTCAAAAAATGTCGCCTGTAATACTGAAATTTCTTTTAAGGGTCAACTAATGTCAAAGGATCTTATCTGTTGGTCATTTGTTTACTTAATTTTCATCGAAATTTTTGTTGCAGTATATTGGGGATGAACTTATTTGGATGCAAGTTTTGCAAAAATCCTGTCAATGCAATGGATCAGACAAAAAAGTGTGAACGGAAAAACTTCGACTCGCTTTTGTGGGCACTGGTCACTGTTTTTCAGGTATGTACCATATTTTTTAACAATTTCTGTCTTCAAACTTTTAAAATGCAAAACACAGTTTCATTAAAATGAATTAAATATAATTTTCGGACTAGAAATGAATGCTAGTTTTGCGGATTTGGTAACGAAGTATATTCACTTTATGGAATTTTTTTTTTTTGATTAAATAATTAGCTAAAAATGAAAAAATTCAATTTGCAGAAGCTTGTATGCGTAGCTCTACACCAGAAGCATATTTCTTTTCAAGATTTAAATTTAGTTCCTATTTATTTCAAAGATTTTAACACAAGAGGATTGGAATGTCGTTTTATTTAATGGTATGGCTCGTACGACACCTTGGGCAGCTCTGTACTTTGTTGCTTTGATGACATTTGGCAACTACGTACTGTTTAATTTGCTTGTTGCCATCCTGGTTGAAGGTTTTCAAGAAAGTAAAGAAGAAGAAAAACGACAGCTGGTAAAATTTCTCAACCTTTTTGACGAAGTGAATTCTTTTGTTGGAAAAATTGAAACGATCATAAGAGTAAATTATTCTGGGAAAAATCTGAATAATCAATCAGAATTCCTGAAAATACTACGAATGATTTGACGCTAATTTTTATTTTATGCTATAAAACCTAACACTTAGATTCAATAAGTCCATTGTAATTCATATGAATTACAAATATGACGAAATTATCCGAATTCTTTACTTTATTCATTCTTGAATAATTTATTTTAAATAAGATTCCAGGAAGAAGAAGCTATGAAGAAAGCAACTGTTGAGGAAGAAGAAAGAAAGCGAGAATTGGAACTATTTCTGGCTAAAGCTTCCTCCTCATCCACTTATCTTAATCAAAAGGTGCATGTACTTTCTTTTAATGTTTGCATTTCAATAAACAGTAAAAATAAAACAATTCGTACCACATCCAATAGTCTTTCAGAGTTCTCCCACATATTACTCTTATAACCGTGGGCCAGGTAATTTTCAAGCATTTCAAGATGTATATCAAATGAGGTACAGTGTTCCGACAAGTCCAGATGATGTAAGCTTCATCATTTATAAATTTAGAAATTTTTGCTAGAAACCTGAAGTTACCTGCATTTTTAATTAAAATTTATACCTTTTACCAAAAAAAGGAAAGACACAGTTTTATTGTGATTCTGATTCTGTTACTGATACATTAAGTCATAGGTAGAACTTATTTATTGTTTAGTAATATAAAGTTATGCCATTTTTTCGTTTTTTTTACAGGAAGAGGAAGGTGAAAAATCATCGCAGCAACAATCGTTCCTTACCAGACGAACTGGTAGTTTTAATCGCCATCATCTGCCAAAAGCTATTAATCCAAATCTTAATTTTCGGTATTTTTTCTCATTTTTAATTCAAGTCAAATCAAAAAACATAACTTTGTCACAATTTTATTTTTCAGAAAAAATTATTTTTCTTCAAATTACAAAATACCCTTCCCTGATATACATTAAATTATCATTTGTTTATCCTTCTAATTTGCCGGTTTATTTTTTTCAAGCATGATCCATTATCAACAATGATAGCAATGTAATACTTAAGTTAATTAAATTTACAATTACAATCTTACTGTCAATGGTCAGATTTTGTGACAGGTGTCATTTAAACAATTTTCACCCATTTATCTATATATGTGTAATAAAAAGCAAAAGAATTAGCTTAAAAAGTGAGTAATTGTCGTTTTTTTTAAAGATTAGACCGACATACTTCACTTATTCTGCCTCAGATGGTATCATACTTTGACCCTTATTCAAGTGATGAAGTGCGACAACGTATGAATAGTTGGTGTGGAATGCAAACGAGGCTCAATCCAATTCGCTCTATTGGTGGTCGACAAGCCGTTATTGAGGCATACACAAGAGATAGACTAATTGAGGTTAATCGTACATTTCTTGATTAAATTTGTAAACAAACAAAAAAGAGCTTGATTCTAGTCATTGCAAAGAATCAATTAAATTCCGAAATCAGTATCATTTTTGTTAGACAGAAATTGCATGAAATTAAATGTGTACAGTTGAATGATATATCAAAATGTATAGAATTTTCTTTTTTTATTCATAAGATTTTTATTTTTTAATTTTAATTATAAGATTTAATTACATTAATTTTAATTATAAAATTTTTATTACATTAATATAATTTTGATTATAAGATTTTTTAATTACGAGATTTTGATTTAATTAATAGTAAAGCAAATTTCAATTAAATTAGCAATTTTAAGACATATTAAATGCTCTTTTGAAAAAATTCAGCATTTTTAAAAAATACTTATGATGCTGAAAAAAATTCAGCATCATAAGTATTTTAATTTTATTGAAGAATGAATGACAAACGCTTTAAAAAAAAAAAAAAAAAACAAAATTTTCCACACAAATATTTTTTTTCTGAACTTGGAATAATGTTTTTCAGAATTTTTGAATAATGACAAAAATATTTTTGTAGGTTAATGAAGAATTGCAAATAGCGATTGAACAAGAAGAACGACGTAAAAGAGAACAACATAATACGAAATTAAATCGATTATTAAGGAAGACGTGTTTTTACAAACGTGCCGATTATTCATTTTATATTTTTAGTTCAAAAAATCGAATTCGAATTAAGTAAGTTTGTTATAATTTCATCGAGCAAAAATTTTATATAGATATCAGTGGAAAAACATCGAGCAGAAATTTTACATAGATCAATGGAAAAATTGTAATTTGATAACTAATATCGATATTAGTTGAAGGAAAAAGAGTAAATAAGGAATAATTCCAATTCTATTTCTACAATAAAAATATAAAACGATTGCAAAGCACAATATCGCCATCTTTTCCATTCTTTTTTTTAGGTGTCTTCAACTAACACAGAAAAAGTGGTTTGATTATACGATTTTGATATTCATCGGCATTAACTGCATTACATTAGCCATGGAACGACCATCAATCCCTCCGAAATCTCTAGAACGGCAATTTCTCACGTTTTCCGGATATGTTTTCACCGTAATTTTCACCATCGAAATGAGTATGAAAGTTAGTATGATTTCAAACTTTTAAATTAAATAAGTCTGAATGAAAAGAATGAATTGATAACAATAAATTGAAGATTATTTAGTCAGTAATCATTCAGTGATAACAATTTAGGTTGTTGCAAATGGATGTTTACTTGGAAAAGATGCCTATTTTAAAGATGGATGGAACATTTTGGATGGTGCACTGGTCATTATAAGTCTTATAAATATTATTTTTGAATTGTTAGTTCATATAGGTAAGTTCAATTAATTCTTACTTATTTTGAACAGGTATATATTTTTACAAATAGGTATTTCGTTTATTTTCATTTGATCTTAAATCTGAGATTTTTCTACCTTTTCAGATTCACCAAAAATATTTGGTGTTATACGTGTATTACGGTTGCTGAGAGCATTACGTCCATTGCGTGTTATTAATCGAGCTCCTGGAGTAAAACTGGTGGTTATGACGCTGATAAGTAGTTTGAAACCCATTGGAAACATTGTTTTGATTTGTTGCACTTTTTTCATCATCTTTGGTATTCTCGGTGTTCAGTTGTTTAAGGTAAAGTTTGATTTAATCAATCGGGCATGCCTTATGGATAATCGGTAGTGGGTGTATCTGTAAAACAAAAAAAAAAAAAAAAAAATTGTAACAGGTTACAATCAAATCAACTGGTTAAATTTTAAGGAGAATTGAAGATTATCACATCCAAGAGACTTAGCATCAGTTTTAATGAATTTATTTATAGGGTATGATGTTTCACTGTGTTGGACCAAGTATAAATAATGTCACAACAAAAACAGATTGTCTGATGGACCCACGGAATCGATGGGTTAATCATCGCTATAATTTTGATAATCTTGGCCAGGTAAGCTTTTAGCAGTTTTCTCATCTTTTGATGAATAATTTCGGATTAGTAAGCTAACAGGGTTAAAATTTATATATTAGTGAAATAAGTTTAACATTTCTAGGCACTCATGTCACTGTTTGTATTGTCAAGTAAAGATGGCTGGGTCGCTATCATGTATCAAGGTATCGATGCTACAGGTGTAGATTTACAGGTAATTAAATAATTTATTACATTTTTGGTTTATTTGAAAATTTTTATATGCACAAATTTATTTTGATATCTATTTTAGCCAATCGAAAATTACAATGAATGGCGAATGATTTATTTCATTTCCTTCTTGCTACTTGTTGGATTCTTTGTATTGAATATGTTTGTTGGTGTTGTTGTGGAAAATTTTCATAAATGTAAAGAAGCATTGGAAGCTGAGATGAAAGAACAAGCGCGAAAAAAGCGGTTGGAACGAAAATTAAAACGACAACAATACGAAAGCGAATATGGACAAAAGAAAAAAAGACGTAATTAATCACTGCATTTCCTTTTTTTTCAATCTTTTTCTTTGCTCTCTTTAATTTCCGTTTATAAGTAAAATTAAAAGTGAACAAAGTTGCAGAACTGAATTTCTGTTTGAATTGATACTATTGTTAAAATACATCGGAGCTTGTAGGAATATAAAATTATCAAGTTTTTATGGTTTTTTTTTTGTAGCGTGAAAAACTTTTAAATAATTTTATATTTCAGTAGTTTAAGTGATATATTACATTTGTTGACATTTTGAGGAGAGAAATCACAACCATACTGGCAAAGTTATGGTCCATCAAGACTATTTCTGAACAATATTGTAACATCAAAGTATTTCGACTTAGCCATCGCCGCTGTTATTGGTAGGTTTGAAGCGGCTCTTAAACATTATGCTAATTCGAGATACTGAATTCCTAACTTTACTTCCTAGTCTCAGCAATTTATCAAATTTTGTCATGATTTATTAATTCTGCAAAAAAGGAAGAAGAAATTGATGCACTAAGCTATATGGTATCCCTTTAACCAATAAATTGGAATTTAAAAGAAATGCAAAAATCCCCACATTCTTCTATCATATCATTTCACTAGCTCTTAACTGTTGCAGGAGTAAATGTAATCTCAATGGCTATGGAATTTTATATGATGCCAGCTGGATTGAAATACGTTCTTAAAACACTAAATTATTTTTTTACGGCTGTCTTCACTCTTGAATCTGCGATTAAACTTATAGCATTAGGAGTTCGTCGGTTTTTCAGTGAACGGTAAGAAATTCATTTGTTCCAAAAGAAACTAGGAAAGGTCAAGTTTAGCTGAACCCTACTCTAAGTTATTTTGCATTAAATTAAAGAAGTTTGTGAATTTTATCTTACCATTTCTCACAATTTCTCTAAAATCAAAACAGGCTAGTCTATGCTGCATCGTAGAACAATCATACAATTACAGATGGAATCAGTTAGATATTTCCATTGTAATTCTTTCTATTGCTGGTATCGTATTCGAGGAATTTGAAGCTTTAGAATTGCCCATTAATCCAACAATTATCCGAGTAATGCGAGTCCTTCGGATTGCTCGAGGTAATGTAAATTCCATTTAGCTGTTCTTTTAAAGCAGTCTTATACTAATGTAAGCTACAATATCGTTGAAAAGGATAGTATTGACAAAAATACGTTTAATATGACAAGTTTCATTAAAAATTTTCTTTTTTTGAAACTTAATTTTCCAAATAATTTTGGTTTTCTTTTATGGAAATATGTTTGCGACATTAACACAAATAAGCATCAAATAAATATCTAAAATAATTCCTTTTTAATTGTTGCAAGACGTTAATTCAATTTTAATTACCAGTTTTTAATATGTATATATCATGTGATTTGTTTTACAGTGTTAAAATTGCTAAAAATGGCTAAAGGTATCCGATCATTGTTGGACACGGTTGGTGAAGCGTTACCACAAGTTGGAAATCTTGGATCTCTTTTCTTCCTCCTATTTTTCATTTTCGCCGCTCTTGGTGTCGAGTTATTTGGTAAACTTGGTATGTAACTTAGAATAACAAATCTTTCCTTTTTTCTTCAATTCAAAATAGTGGTAAAAATATTTCACAGAGGTTTATGATGTAACTTTAACTAATTTATCGTAAAAATTTAGAAGGAAAGGAAAAGTATGATATTGAGGTCGTCATAATCATTCAAATTCCAAAAAAATGCAAACAATTTAACAGTTATTGAGAACTAAAGTACTTGGGATACCAAAATATTTTTACAATTTCAAATGATAAAATGAACTTTTTAGAGTGTTCGGATGAACATCCATGTGATGGACTTGGTGAGCATGCTCATTTCAAAAATTTTGGCATGGCATTTCTTACATTGTTTCGCATAGCTACAGGTGATAACTGGAATGGAATCATGAAGGTATATCAGCGATGAAGATTAATAAAGTTTCATTATATTTTAAGTTTTTTACAAACCGAAGAAAAAAATTCGTAGTATATTTGTGAGTACTAATTGCAATATCTGCAGTCAACTTCATTTGAATTTTGCTTGTTTTTTTTTTTTGAGTTATAACTTTCATTAAAAATTGTGAGAAAAAAATCCTCTAATATTTTTTACTTCTAACAGAACGTTTCAATATCAATTTACGTTTTTATTTTTAGGATGCATTGCGTGACGATTGTGATCCGTCAGATCGTTGTGAATCAAATTGTTGTGTTGATCCAATATTAGCGCCATGTTTTTTCATCATATTTGTATTGATCTCACAATTTGTATTGGTGAATGTTGTGGTTGCTGTTTTGATGAAACATTTGGAAGAAAGTAACAAGAGGGAGGAGACTACCGATGGTTTGTATATGATGTTTCATTCATGAGAAAAGAAGATGGAAGTGAAATTTGATTTGATAGTATATATCAAAATGTAAATACAGTGATTCATATATTTGATTTTCAAGTGAAAAATTTTATTATAAGTGAAAATTTATATAATTAAAAATAAGGAAAAAAAAAATGCTTCAAGAATCTTATCATTTCTTCTTTTTAATCAGTAAAAAATTCATCATAAGTTGTAATTTTAGGCCATGGAATAGCTGGAACGGATACCGATGCGAACAAAACTGATACAGATGTTGAAGACAATGCAGATTCATCACAAAAAGATTTAGTTTGTGATATTTTTGTAAAATTTATGGCATTTAGGAATGAAATATTAGAGGATAAGAAAATGAAAAGGTTTGATTGATTGATTCGTTGGTTGGTGAAATCAGGAATGAAAGTATTAATTCAAATAGATCACTCATTTATAAAAAAGTAGATGAATAAATAAATAAGTAAATAAATATCATGCCATATTAGATAATTATGTCAAAGTTTCCTGATTATCATCTCATTTTAATTCTTTTCTTTTCTTTTAAACGATCGTTTGATATTTGAATTTTCAGGATAATACTCGTACTGACACAAAGATTGAAAAAGACTGTTTATTAGTTCATGCAAAATATATGGAAACGTGTTTACCAAAACACAATGAACATCATAACGGGCATTCTCCTATGCTTCGATGATCCTCAACATTTTTAACTTTTACAAATAATTTTATCTTCTTACAGTTTAAAAAAGAAAAAAAAAAACCAATTATTGATGGCACTGGCACTTAATGAAAATTTGCTAAATTTTAATATCATTTATTAATTATAATTTCATATTTAAGAATTTTTATTTTGATTTAAAATATCATATCAATTTGTCCATTGTTAAACGTTTGACATTCATCATCAGGGTTGTCCAGATATCAATGTAGCGTGCCTTCCGATTTTAGTCCAATTCCTTATTGGACTTAAGTTCACCAGATACAACCATACGATGGGAATTATCAAATCATTCCGTTGTATTCAACCAACTGTTAGATTTGAAATTTCTAAGTTTTGATATATCACTAAAAAAAAAAGAAAATTTGGATAAATCCTTCCATAAATCTCACTCATCAAAAATCAAAATGTTTTTACAAAACGAATTATGTTTCCAGAAAATTAAATTTATATAAAATGTTTCTTATATCTTATCAACTTTTTCTATAATTCAATCATTAAAGAAAAAAAAGTTGAAGCATTCGATTCGATTATTCTATTTCGAATCTTTTTAATCAATAAAATTCCATAATATTGCTAATTATAGCTGATGCTGTTGTTTTTCATTGGGCATGTTGCAGTTATATAAATTTCAGACTGTGATCATTTTCATTTTTTTTTCACAACTTATAATTTTGTTTGCACTGCTGCCTCCTCCTCTTCAACCAGTACGATAATTTAAATTTAAAAATGTCGTATTTTTTGATTCTGTAAATCAATTTGCACAGCTTTGAAAACGAGCTAGGCGATGATTATTGGGTTTTTTTTTCTTTAAAATTTCCTTTCAAAATTCTAGAAATTGCTAAAAACAAAATTTAAGATAGTTTTCAGAACCCATTCATCATCACTGCTGCACATTATTTCCATCCCATATATAACACACAACTGTTTGATGTGTTAATGTAATTAAATATGATAATATAAACAAATCAAATAAAAGATTCAATTTAACTGCTTTCTATAGACTTGCGAAATTCGAATTCGAGAATGTTGAGAATAGATACAATAAAACATATGGATTTCTGCTTATTAATCCATCTTTTTTTTTTCGGCAATTTTTGTGGCAGGAAAAATGGTCGTATTTTATACATATAAATTTTATTATTTTTTTTTTTGAATTATATGCTATGTGTTCACTTTTGATTCGTGTAAATTAAACGTCGCTTTCAAAGTGCATATCAACAACACAACGTTCAACTAATTTTCATGTTTGTTGGGTGCTCAATAAATTTTCACAGTTTTATAAATCTTGGCAAATATGTCGAATTACACGTCAATTTCAAAATTTCAGAAGACATTGTTAATTCCCTCTTTATGAAGATAATAAATCCCTTATAAAACTTTGTGGCAATTAATATTTGAATTATTTAATTAGTTCTATGGTTTTACTGTAATACTCAAAGGTATAATATATGTGCATGTGCAAAGATAATTATTAAACATTTGTAACTGTAAATCTTCAGGTAATCTTTTCTAAAGTCAAACTTCAAATCATACGTAATTTCTTCTGAGCTATTGCCGACAATGGAATCTGTTTCCCACGTATTTATATTACATAACTGTGACAACACTGTCATTCTATAAAGTTACGAATCGACTCGTGTCATTGCCATCACTTTATTTGTCACCTCATAAACACCTGACCATTCATTGCAAATTGAGTCAGTCCTGTTTGGTAGTTGTAAGAGAATTGAGACTTGCCGGAATTTTCACCCGGAATTTCCAGAACTCTCTTTTTTATTTATTTGTTTTTACTTTAATATAGCTAAAAATTACACATCAAAAAATATTGCAGAACGAAGGAAAAAGCAAATACCGAACCCATCCTTTAGCGCCATTGTGATAAGAGACATAATGTCAAGTTGTAAATGCACTGTAAAAGTTACCATTCCAGGTTCATAAGCAACCCACAAAACCCTCGATTCATAAACAATCAAATCTTGCAGATGCCCACAAGAAATGGATTAGTTTTCCTCCTGATTACCCTGGGGGAGGATTTGTGGATGACTTCATGTCTGTTCCAGTCAATAACTCATTGTGACGGGGAGAGGGTAGTGTACACTATATCAAATCAAGTATTTCCTATGGGGGAGGATTAGGTGAGTTGAAGGTCAACAAGATCAAGGTCAGAGGAATGAGGTGGAGGAAAATCAAAGAGGGACGAAGGAGGAAAAAGAGGGAAAAGCAGAGGTTTTGTGGTAGAGAATTTTGATAGTAGTTCAACCACATATGTTACGTTGCAAGGTGATATTGCTGTGTTCTGGTTATTTCGAAGATCAAATCAAGCATTATTTGCAATTGACTCTGAATTTAGCCACCAATTAAATGCTTATTTGCTTGTGTAACGAAGAATGTCGTTTGTATTCCACATTCTTCACACTGTTCCATATAGCAACAAGCCTATCGTCAAGGTTCGGAAATTTTTTTTTGTATCAGAAATTTGATTTTAGAACAAATCAAACTACTCATACTTCATGCTTTAATGATTGTGACTCATATATTGAAAATTGAAGGCATACATTTATTTATTTACAAAAATTTTCCACTTATTCAACTGATTTTACAGGATGTAATTGCAAGTTTACACAGTTATTTCACTTGCAATCTACTGATTGCCTTTTCCGTTATCATCAGCTTTAAACAATTCGGTGGCCGTCCGATGGAGTGTATGTTGCCATTAGGATTCAGTGGAGCATGGGAACAGGTAACATCTTTGCTTCTGTCAGATAATGTTTATTCCGAGGTTCCGAGGTTAAATATTCTTTCTTCTATCTTTTAAAACGACAATGGTTGAAATTTTCCGACAGCATAATAAAATTCGAATTTTAATTATATACATTATATGTCATGAGCGAATCCAGAAACTGGTTTTTTGCATTCATACATGATATTCATTATGTAGATAGAAGTTTTTTGATCTTTTACAGTATGCAGAAAATTTCTGTTGGGCGCAGGATACGTATTTTATTCCACCGAAAGTCTTCGTCGAAGATATTCCCACAGAAGAACGCCGAGAGCGTCGAATTAGTTATTATCAGTGGATGCCATTTTTTTTGCTGTTTCAAGCAGCATGTTTCAAGGCACCTACACTTATATGGAAATACTTTGCCGGACAGTCAGGTATTGATTAGAGTTATCAAATGTTTAATATTACCAAATGTAGAGGTAAACAAGAATAAGTTTTTTCCTTTGAATTTATGTGTTTATGAAGATCTTGTGGGATCTGCATTTTACTGATTTTTTGTTCTTGTAAGTTACGGTAGACTAAATATTACTTTTTTGTTTATCGCTGTTACTTTTGGTGAAATTTGGAGGAATAATGTCTTACTTATTCTTATCTTAAATACTGCTGTGTCGTTTAGTTCAAACCCCTGTGACTACCGAATCAGATATAATTTCCATCGTATTCTAGGGATGAAATTGGGTCAAATCCTTCGATTAGCTAGTGATCCAGCAAATTCATCCTTGGAAGTTAAGAAGGGAAATATTGAAACGTTGTGCATGCATTTGCAAGGTGCTTTAAGATTCCATGAACGAGTGAAAAAGGTATCCAATTTAAATTACGTTCATATTTATCCAGCTTTATTCTGCCTTAATTTTACAGTCATACTTATCATCCAAATTTCAGAAGAAATTGGTGCCTCATAAAATTTGTCGATTCTTGAATATAAAATATGCAAATTATTATGTTACAACGGTATATATCTTAGCGAAGTTAGCATTTCTGACAAATGCTGTGTTTCAAATTTCTTTGATGACACGGTAATTCTTTTCAGACAAAGAATGATAGTTAACTGATTACTAGTAGAAAAAAATAATTTTTATATAATATTTGGTGAAAATGAAATTTACATGGATGGCCATTACTTTAAGTTGAAATCCCTGGGAACTTTAAGCTTATGTGAGGCTTCAGGAGTCTATAAAGATTTATATTTATTGTTCAGTCTGATTTACACTGGGAAAATGCTCATATTTTATAACACGACTTTCTTCGTTCTTCAGATACTTATTACCAGAACTTGAAAATAATTACGGCTTGGAATCGTGGATGAATATTATCTGGCCTAAGAATGTTTCTCCTTCATGGCATCACAGTGGGATCTTCCCTTTAGTAACGCTTTGCGATTTTGAAGTGAGTCGAACACCTGTTATTCATTCTCACTCCGAATATTTCATTCACATTTTTCAGGTCCGAGAAATGGGAAACATACAGACTCATACAGTGCAGTGTGTTCTTGTTGTTAACTTGTTCACTGAGAAAATTTTCATTCTACTGTGGGCTTGGTAATTATTTTTCACATAACACCCTATAAGTTTCAATAATTATTGAGCGGCAAACTTTAGATTTGAAAACAGTCATTACTAGAAGTTTTGCTTTAACAATTGGATAGTTTATGATAGCGTTGTCGTTTTTCAGGTTCATGATATTAGCAACATTTACATCTCTGAGTGTTTTAAACTGGATATATTTGTTAACGGAAAATTGTTCAAAAGAGCACTTCATTTTGAATCATCTCGAAATGAGCGGAACACCGTTCAATAAAAATGACCCACGTTGGTGATGCTTCTTGCAGCACTGAAGTTCATCTTTCTTGTTAAGATTGAAAACCGTGAACACAGAGCTGAGGAAATAGAATTGTTGATTTGATTCAGATAGTTGTATTTACTTCTTGCTAAATAATTTCAAAAAATAAAAATGAGAAAAATAAAAACGGTGCATATTTTCTTTTAGGAAATAAGAAGCACGTTGACCGTTTTTTGCATGAATATTTGGGAATAGACGGCATCTTTGTTTTAAGAATGGTTGCTAATCATGCGGATGTTGTCTTTGCGACTGAACTGGTCGCATCACTGTGGCGATCCCACTATGTTTTTGAGGAGAGAAGGAAGTAAGTAATTCTAGGGTATTCTGGAAAACACCAGTAAATGGCGCGCTATGCAGATAATGTATCAACATCTCGATGAAAACTTATGACTTTACCTCCTCGAGTCATTCCGTCTAATTCGCTTATTATTTGAGATTATTGAGTTCAGCAAACTTTTAGAATTTTTGAGATCTCTGTTTAGAAATTTATTACAAATGGACAAGGTATGGCCCCAACACCAACAAAGACTAGAATTGGCATTGCTTGAAGAAGCTGAAATTGCTCGAAAAATCAGTTCGGATGCCCTAAACGCGCTTCAAAGGAAAAGAAGTGTTTTCTTTGATTCACCATATTTCGTAAAACGTAGTTCGCTGACTGGAATAACAATACCGAAAGTACTCTCACGTTAGTTTTTGTACTCAGTTCAGAACAAAATTTACGTTAATTCTAACAATAAATATGCATTTGAAAATAACTAATTAAACAGAGGTCATAAACTCACGGTATAAAATCGAAAGTTCTCACTTATTCTTTTATATTTTGTTTAGTATGGTATACGAACAAAATGATTATGTATTTAACTGAATGCATCCATTAATCCCAATTCCAGGTAACATGCTAGGAAGTTCCTGTGCGCCATCCCGAAACAATTCTAGAGATAGTATAATACCCTTTTCACCACGTCTCGGAAATCATCCTCGAGGTAGCATTTTCTCTACTGATAGTCAGTGTAAACCTCGACGACGACACAGCTTGGAAGAGACTGATATTGGTTGTAGAGTAAAGAAATTTGCAGACAGTAGTGATGAGGAAGAACAGGAGAAAGAAAAAGGTCCAAAAAGCTTTATGAGTCGGAAAAGTACAATCAAAATTTGGTGAATAGTTTGATGGTAGCCTTTGTACATTCTTAATAATCCATTTTGTGCACTGTCTAATCAGGTTTCACGAGGTACTCTCTGATTAGTAAAATTCGTTTCTTTCTTTTCTATTGAGTGGAAAGCACGAAGATGTTTAATTTAGTAGATTTATTGTGGATTTTCTGTTTTGTTTTAGCAGCTAGTTCTGGGACTTTTTGTTTTCCATTTTCTTCATTGATGACTTTTTCAGTTTGAAGTTATCGATTTCATGACAGTTACGAGTTTTTATAGTTAGTTCTTTTGTGTAACATTGACGAAAATGTTTATGAAGATTGGCCTTCTTGGATCTCAAATTTCCTTCGTTCTTTCGTACTGATGTGTTTATCGACACGCTTGGTAACGCCTTATATAACCTGTTAGTATTTTGCATGCATTGTTATATTGTTTTAAATCGAATCTAAACGAACTATCACTTTCCCCATACTTTTTTGCATATTAGAAGAAATGTACCGGAGAAAACCTGTTTCCCAGCAAATGCGAATATGGAATAAAAGACTTTTGTGGATCAGTAATTTAAATTTCGATTCCGCACATAGTCGAAATTTTGTCATTTATCCATATTAATATTAAAAATCTTCCCTTGAAATTTAACGGTGTTTACAAGGCTTCTTTATGTAGAGCCGTTTGACAAATTTTCAAATTACATATATATGTTCCATAATTTTCTAAACTTTCATTTTATTTGTGAAACAAAATTGAACAACCTTGTACCCACTTTCGATGAGGCGTATAATGCGGTGATTAATTGAGGTTTTTCCTTGAGCATGCTTTTGAATATTTCTTTTAAGAAATTATCATCCAAATGTTTTTCGAGTACATCCGAAACAACACGTAGAAGATACGGTGTAGAATGTACCGGTAACGATAACATGCCAATCATATAGTTAGGCAGTACTTCACGAACAAACATTGCGGGGAATTCGCGCATTAAAAGCTGAAATACGAGTTGGCAAATTTTTAACCTAGAATTCAAAAGAAAACCTCATCGAAAACTTAAATCAAGTGGCAAAGAAATGAAAGTAATGAAGAATGCCGTTTTCTTAAATCCTATTACGGTTGTTTGTAACTTTACTCGTTAAAACTAGTTAAACCTTAGAAGTAAAAAGAGAACAGCACATATATTTCCATATTTCTTTGAAAACCAAAAACCAAGGTGGAAAATCAGTTTTTAAATTTCAACGAATCTGCACACTGCAGGAGTGTTCTTTCTTATCCCTTGTCGTGTTCTGGTAGGAATTTCGAAATCCATTTAAGCTGTTCCGAGATTCACGGAACTTAGGTTAAAATCGAAGTATTTTTCTAAAATCTACTGAACTTACCACATTTTGCAGTATGAGTTTGCAGAGCTGCACAAATGGTGACCGATTAAAATTACATTCTGAGGGTGGCTTGTAAATTTGCTGTGCAGCGTGCATATATAAATAAGACATTATACGACAGCAGTGGATCACTGTTGTTTCTTCAGCATTCATCAGAATACGATGTAGAGGTGATACTAGCAGTTCGGACCAACTCATAATATTCTCGTGAATCCATTTCTTACTGTTAGCATTTTTTGAAACAGTCTGTAACGAGTACCATGTTCAAATTTGAAATTAAGCGAGAATATAATGCTTAAAATAAAGGAACGAATGCAGAATAAAACAACCTCAAATAACCAACGTATCGAGTGAATCGTTGAGGATGAATCCACAGAAAAAGCTTCAAAATACAAACCATTTTTCCGAAATGACACTCGAAGATTCTTGCAAATACTTTCAGATATGTCATTAAGTTCTAAAAAATCAATTGTACAGTTCTTCAAACTGCACATAGAATACAATGTTAAGAAGCTTGAGTCATATACTAATTGAACCGTCGTTCATATTGCCAAGCATTTCCTTGGCTTCTAATTTCCGAGATATGTCTTTCCATCTCTCGACACAGCCTAAGCACTATTATCTTCATGGACAAGGTATCCAGGATGAGATTTATGAGAAACTTAAAGGCAATTCAAAATATACAATTAAGAACTTGGAAAAATCAGAAATTGAAGATTTATCGTGAAGGACTGAATCTGAAGAACAAACCATCTGTATTTGGTTTTTCGAAGGCAACCACCAACCATATGGGAACGATGAGTTCAACCGGATAAATCGCATTGTTAGCTGTCCTCAAAAATTCCCGCAAGAAGTATAAGCAAACTTCAAGTTTGTAACTTTTTTCAGTCAACAAGTTTTGTACAACTTGACGCATGTTTTGAAAAGCTGATTGACTTCGTTCAAATTTTATCGCTAACTGAAAGAAGCAAGAAATTTTCAAAAAAGAAAGTCTGATTCCCACTCTATAAAATTCAGAGCTTCAAACTCGAAAATGGGTTATTACCGGCTTTAGTTTATGTTATAGAAACTATATTAGTGGTACAATCGGCATTGCTACTTGATTAGAATATTTATTAATATTCTAAAGTACTTCAATTGTGAGGATATTCACTGCCCACCATTCTTAGTGCTTTTATAACTGCTTCGTGTCCTACTTACTTCGAAAGTCATGAATTTATTATTTTGGAAATTGCAAGTTCAGTTATCTATGGCAAGAATTAAACGAACGAAAATAAATCCGCGAAAGTTTATTGTTCAATAATAATTCGTAATTGATATTCAAAAGGTTATAGCAAATAGTACTACGCAAGCAGAAGAAAAAAAGACCAACCTGTTTAACAATGTAATTTACAATTATAGGGAAATTGGGACTTTTGAGATGATTGATAGCTGCATTCCACAAAATACTGTTTTCAGTTCGATAGTGAACAACCACCGCAAAGAGCTGTTCCAAATCCATATCATTCATGAATGGTAAAAAGCGAGCTAGAGAACCAATCTAGGAAAGATTTATCAAAACCAATTCATATGTTTGTTTCCAAAGAACTTGAAGAAGTCATACCTCGGATACTTTTTCAGCAACACATATGCAGCATTCGATATACAATGAAACATCTTTTTTATCATCAAGCTTTCCCATCACTACAAGAATTTTTAAAAGACTGAGTACAGTTTGATGATTTAACATCAATTAACAAAACCCCGTGGACTGTGATAATGCATGTAAATTGCACAACCGATATTGAGATTAAGCAGCAAATGGTAAGAAAAGTCCTACAATGTTTGGAATTGCATCTTAGATTTATGTGGGATTCTATCCATTAAAAGTAAGATGGTAAAAGAGAGATCTGGATAAATTTTCTTTTTCTAAAGAATTTAGAACTAAATTTGAGAAATAATATAAATTTCATACAACAAAAGGAATACGCATATAAAAAATACATGCTATTAACGTCGCGATTGCTTGCGAAGAATCATAACGATTTTCATCCAAAATATACTTTGTGCACTGAATTGCTCGAATCAGGACTTCGTGACGCTCTTTATCAGAAGGATCAAAGGCAGACGTTGCCAATGAAATCACCTTATTAGACGTCTCTTCCATATCTAAATGCTAAACAGATCATATTCTACATTACTATTTTTACAAATTCAGTATGAGTGAAATTCTTTGAAAGAGGATAATTGAAATCTATGATCTTAATTATAAAAGGTAAAATAATCTTGAGAAAAGCAAGGTATTTAATGCATAGTGCAGCATTACAAAGAATATACCTATATTGTGCAAGCATGAAATAAAGAGGCTGAATACGCAAATAAGTGAGTGAATTGGCATTTCACGAAATCGTTTGGCCGGGAATTTAGAAAAAATTCGTGGCTTCATAGCTCGCCAAACTGGCTCAGATCCTACAAGAAAAGTACAAATAATTTCACACAAACTGATAACGTGTAATTGACAAAGACAAGAACAAACCTAACTTTTGATAAGCATTGACATAAGTCGTATAAAAAGTATCCAATCGTTGTATTTATCTCCCGTGTTGTCATTACAACAAGAAAATAGAAAGTCCTTCCAGACTTTCCCATTGGTTGGGTAGAACTCTAACTCCTAGAAAAGCAATTCTCGCGATTTGCAGAATTTTTATAGAGTTATTGGATCTTAAAAGTAAGTTAAAAGGAAAGTTAAGCTATTTTTCCTCTTGTGTTATATTGACTACCTGATCAAGAGGTTCCATAATGTTCGAACATAAGTATGTGAAGAAATATTGCAAAATAGATTCTGTTCCTAGAAGACTATCACCAGGATCCTTATCGAATAAAAAGAACAGTTTCCTGAAAAAACTATGCTGCGTAAATCTGGGATCTATCGAAGCTTTAAGTTGAATAAGTTCTGATTAAAACTCCAAAAACCTTGCCAACTCTTCTTTATGGCTCCGTTTCATTTTGAATGAATTATTTGTACTAAAACTCTACCTCAAAACGTACTGTTTTTCTGACAGTTTTGAAGCGATTTGTTGCAAACATTCTACATAACTGCCTGAAGCTTTGCCTGCAACGTTCACTAATTGAATAAAGATGACAAGTAAGAAATGAAAATCCCCACCTAATCAATCTGTTTAAATATTTCACCTGATACGATGTAAGGATCATCAAAACCAGAGCCAAATTCGCAAATTATTTCCAAAAACGTTTTTGCCGAAACTGAATTGCCAATGTTACATAAATCCAAGAACATTTCTAAATTCGTTATTTTTCAGTCATTGAAATAAAACACACTAAATATTGATATGAAAGAAAATTTAGAATCTCGACTGCGAAAAATCTGTTATATAAGACTCAAACTACTTTAACTTCAGTAATTGCCAGAAATTTAGGGAATGAAATAATTTTTTAAAAACAATTTGTATTACCCACCACTTGAAAGATTTTCAGGCGGGTAATAATGCAAACCGTTGGTGCATAAGCTTAGCAGCTTGACCATATTTGACCAAAACATTTCTCTATTTAATATACAGAGTTGATGCCAAGCGGCAGTAACACATCGGCATATACATGGTCGATCCTAGAAATTAACTATTTTAAATATAATTGAAATCAGTACAACTGACTCCTGCAAATTTAGAAATTTTTGAAGATGTATTTGCAAAAAAAAAAAAGGAAATCAATAAGCTGATTTCAAATCGACCTAATGAACTTATTTCAAAAAAAAAACTCTAAATTTCATAAAATCAAGTTTACTGACCGTACGTGATGCACTTAGCAGTAATCCATACGAAACAAGCATTGATAGCTGTTCTGCTGATGATAATGCATCACCTACCGGATAAAGTTTTTCGAAACCACTGAACCCTACATAGTCATATAATGAAAGGAGACAAAGTAACATCAAAATTAATAGCTTTGTACAAACTTACTTCAACTTAAGTCTCAATATATTAAAGAAAAAATGCAGTAGTAATTTGTACATCTGACTAATGCGTTTTTTAGTATAATATAAATGTGTGAAACTAGCTTACTACAAAAAAAAAATGATTTTTGAAAAAAAAAACTCATTCTTTTGCTTAAATATTTATTTAAGAAAAATAAAAAAAAGTTACAATCATGTCTACAAAATGACTCACTTTTGAAAAAAGTTGAAATACGGACGGCTTTCATCCAAGTAATCAACAGGGCATGGAAAATGTAATTCTGAAACATGAACAACATCTTAATTTTTCACTTGAAAATTACTAAGAAGAACTCTTATCTTGAATTTCAGCAACAATACCTGAACATAACTGAATGCTCTCCGAATTTCTGATCTATATTTCACTTCTAGATCAGGTGCATGAATACCAACAGTTAAGATTAAAGAAATGACAATCAATTTACCTTACCGTTTCAACGTTTCGTGTAGTAAATAAACCATCACTGGCAATGTAATGACTCAGTGAGCCCGCTTGAACAAGGAAAAACTTGAATTCTCGTGCAATTTTATTCAGCGTTTCCATATCACCATCCAATTCCATGTTCTAAATCTAGAGCTTATCAAAATTTCAAATTGAAAAGTCAGCTTTTTTCGAAGATGGCACGGAAGGTGAATGCCACATAACTCTCACCTGTGCAAAGGCGGTTAAATAACTAAGTGAACGATCCAAGTCAATGATGGCTGTCTCAGAGGAGTCATGAGCGATCTGTTGGTATAAAAACCGAAGACACCGAAATACTGTTTTAATGCCGCGATCTGTATACAGCTAAAAAATGGTACCATTCAGTAAATCTATAGCATCAAGACTACCTGGATGTGTTCAAAACAATACATAAAGTTGAAATCTTAACAGAAAAAAAAGCAATTGTGCGACTTTTAAAACATATATTAAAACAGTTAAAATTTAAATTCTAAAGTCTCATTTTAGTTTCTAACCTTTGAAAAAACGTCACATTTTCTTAATAATTGCCAAAATCACTATTAATAAAACTATAATTAGTAAAAATATAAACAAAAGCATACAGAAACACACCATATTCACGTTAAAGCTAAAAGTAGAAAGTTTCACAAAGGACGGCAACGAATACTGCACAGAAGGCAAAGTATAGTCATCGACGACACGCCTCGGGGGACATCTATTTTGACATACCCAGTCAATATACAACCATTCCGGTAAATCACCCACCGATTCGAATAAATCCTTTTCTGTTTCATCCATTGATAAGATTGATGTAATTGCAACCAACGCTGTAAGTCTGCAAATCTCAGGAATACAGCGAAGAAAGGGCGGAAATAAGTGAATAAGTAAATAAAGAAGTAAATTAATTAATTAAATAACTGAATGAATAATAAAAAATAAATATATATATACGCACATATAACACGCCATATCAAAGTTTCAGGCTGAAATTAATTGAAGATAGAGTTATAACATGCTATGAACCGCTACTTTTTTTCCAATTACACTATTTTTAACTATTTAACTCCGACTTATATCTGCAATGTTTAAGTTTTCATTCATATATTTCCGATTTTAATCAGCTGATGAATGATTGTCTAATACAGGATGTTTGCTATTGGTGATATTAAGACCACTCCCAATTAAATTACTATAAAAAGTGCTTAATCGCCCAATGCTTGACTGGCCCAATTTAAGAAATCCTTTAATCAACTTTAAATTTGCCGCATAAAGCGTTTACACCTCAAGGCCTTAAGTGTTAGTTGCAGCGTTATTGTCGTCATGGTTAGATCAGGTTTCATGCTTGATTTTAGTGAATTCTATGGTATTCAATTTTTCTTCAACCTCAGTGTTCAGTATTTCTATTGCGAAATATTTTACTTGATTTCAGAAGGGCTTAAGTAGAATCGTTCATGGAGATTTTCTGAATATTCTTAGAGATGACTCGAAGTGATAGGGGGAGGTGATAGTTTGTGAGGTAGTCGCTAATTTAATGGAAAAGGTCGAATTATTTTGAAATCCAATTTTTCCAATTACCATTACTTACTATTTGCTTTCCTGTTTGTAGGTATGATTGAAATTTGAAAAGGTTAGTGAAATAGTTAAACAATGATTGTACAATAACTCATTTGTCTATAGCTATTGTTTTTCTCTGTTGCTTGATGAGAATAATTCGTTTCATGAAATTCTTCTCAAAATTCACTCATACACACACAAGCACATACATATTTACATGTTTATACATAAAATGATATCAAATTTGTCCTTTTTTTATGGGCCATTTCTTCGTTGCGGGATTTTCTAAATGTTTCTCCTATGATCATAAAATCATACTGGTCGTGGAATATCAAATTGAAAGCATGCCCAACTTTTGTTTTCGAACTTTGCGATAGTTTTGTTAAATTGCTAAAAGTCGTTGTTTACTCAAGGATTTTTATTCAGTTTACAGAATAATTCTTTCATGATAGTATATGCGTACAGAATGTACATTATAAACAGCTTGAAACCAGAGAACAACTGAAAGTGTTTTAGGACTCAAGTTGGCTACTCAAGAGCAACTGTTAACAACAGTCCGTACTCGCCATCCGGCGCTGCGGAAGACTGCAGCTATCAGTGATGAAACGGTGGACGACGAGAATACAACTAGTGAGTCGCATAGTTGGAGCAGTAATAACGGTGCCAATGGTAGCACTTCATTTGCTTCTATTAAACGCTGTAACCAACCAACAGCTACAATTGTATGCACGAAAAGTGAACCGCTTTCCGGTGAAGATATCAGTGGTATTACTGCTGCCCATCATCACCGGAATACTTTGCCAATACATGCACATTCGGTTCCACCAATGCGATCGTCTAAGCTTCACGATATTTCTGCAATGAATACGGTGATTTTTGACTTTGCTGCTAAATATGCAATCAGTTCAGAGCAGTGTATTCCACAATTGAAAAATTCTTTTGACCTATATATTAACAATAGGAAAAGGTGTACGTGGAGCATTTTATTCGGTGGTAATCTTGTTTCGCAATGTCATTCTTATTTTGAACCTCGAAGAATGCAAACATATATCAACAGTTTCTTTTTGAAACGTTGTGGGCATTGGTTATTTCTTTTAGATTCGCAGTTGTGATGGAAATTTCACGGAGGAAACAAATGGCCTGTTATCTGATGCTCAAACTGTGATTAAACACCAGGTAGCTTTCGAGAGCATTTAAGCGAAATTTCACCATTTCTCTTGAGTTAAATGTATATGCATGATTAAAAGCCAAATGTTTTATCGATTTTAGGTTCCGAATGATCCATCTGGCTTGAACGCAGCTTACTATCGTGATACTGGTGTCACCTTACCTTTAAACAGCCATCTTATGCCACCAAAATCTGTTATACAAGATGACATACGTATGAAATTGGGGAGATTTGAATTAGTAAAAAAGAAAGGCAGATCCGAAGTGTGGAATTTGTTTGGACAGGTTGGTTATTTAAAGCTTCAAAAACGATTTTCTGTACAGAATTTGTCTTTAACATTTCATCGATGGCGAATATGGAAGTCATGGAGCGATGTTAATGCACGGCAAAATATATGTTCTAGAAGATCTGAGGTGATTAAAAAGATATGTGATATGTTAATTGATAATGACAGGATGGTTTGTATGTCTATAATTGTAGGCCTTTTTCTGTAGGTTGTACTGAGCTGTGTTAGATATACATTTGTCTGATTACCCGAAATACTGGAAAGAATTCCGTTGCCGAGAAAATTAAAAAATAAGAATTTTGAATTGAAAGATCTGTATAACCTGTTGAAATCTACAAAATTTTATTAAAAGCTTTTATCAAATTTTCGGATTTTTCATATTGAAGAAAATGTTTGGTTTATTTTTCCGGTCCTTGACACAATTACTGGAGCTCGTCTGCCGTACGTGGCTTGTTATGCATGCAAAGTGCTCTATACAGATACAGGTGGTGGAACAGGAAATATGACTCGTCACAGATGTCCGATTGGCAGTAGCTATAAGGATAGCAGCATGAGGTAATGTGAATTTTTGTCCCGGAACAAAATTTGTTTTAATGATATGGATCGTACAGATGCGAGATAAGGAAGGAAGTTCGTTTCTTTCAGTCGAGATTTTGTCTCGAAGTTGCGTGTATTTTATCGAAATTGGGGACTTTCCATTGCGTAGCCATTTTGTTGGCTTTATTTTTAGCTCATCAGCGGAATCAACAAATGACACTTCTGGCAAGCAATTTTTTGAAACCCTTTCATCAGGATATGTCAGTCAGTTGTCTCCCGACACATCTGCTGCGTACAGAAGGGTAATGTACTGTTCTCTTAAATGTTTCGATTTTCCGATGATTCATGTTTGAACTTGCTGACGTAACAGGCAGATATATTGGAATAGTTGAACCACAGTGCTATGATTTTCCAGTGCCCTTGAATTCCATGTTGTGTTTTTCCTTGGTTTATGGTCACTGTTCTTGATTACTGAATATATCGGTGAGTGTATTGCAAAGTGAAATATGCCAATTGTTTATCACTAAGCGAGTGAATCCAAAGAAGAAATAATTCAGTCAATAAGTTTAATAGATGACATAACTTCTGAAGACTATCAAAAAGTTTCCCGTCTTTCATTAAACAACAGAAGTGGTATGTCTTGGCGTGTAATAGTTTTGAAAATATTTTTAGGATTCTCCAGCACCACCTTCATCATCACATATAAGTCTTACGGCGCAGTCATCATTTGAGACATCATTTAGTGAATATGATCGCCGAATATTTTGCAATGCAATTATGCGATGTTGTGCTATCGATTTACTTCCACCTGCTATTTTTCAGGTTACTTTTGGATTTCTTAATTTAGTTTACCTGAAATTTCTCGTGTAACGTTTGTTGCTTTTACCACAGAAAAGATGAAATGTCATAAATGTGACATACATTATTTGTTGGAACTGTGTCAAGGTTTTTGACCCTTATCATATTCTAGGGTTGATTGAATTTTAACTTTTCGTTAGTTTAGTTTTCTCATTTTCACTGGTTAACAATCAATATTGGTACTCGAGGTTTTTAGGGAGAAGGAATGCACGGTGTTATCGAAACAGCCATATCAATTGGGCGACGTTGTCGGTGTCCAGATCGTCAAGCAATTTCAACACTTATTCCTGAAACTTCTACCCTGAGTCAGGTCAGCAACCTTTCTTAATTGAAAGCTAACCTCGCTTTTTTCGTTAAGTGTTTGATATAAATTTCTTTCATGCGTATAGTTTAGTAATGTTCATTATGTTCATTCTGATTCCATAAATACATACATATCTATCTATCTATCTATCTATCTATCTATCTATCTATCTATCTATCTATCTATCTATCTATATCTATCTATCTATATCTATCTATCTATCTATATCTATATCTATCTATATCTATCTATCTATCTATCTATCTATCTATCTATCTATCTATATCTATCTATCTATCTATATCTATCTATCTATATCTATCTATCTATCTATATCTATATCTATCTATATCTATATAATTCATCTAATCTATTTAATCTATCTAAAAAACCGTGTTTGATATTTTGTTTTCACAGGTTATTGAGGCTAACACAGCAATGATGCTGTCAGAATTGACTGCGGAAGTAGGACAGATTTCCCGTACATCTGGTTTCTCGTTTTCGGTAGAGCGCGTTGCAAATGAAGATGATATTGCTGTTATTTCAGCTAATTATATCACAGCAGAATGGAAATACAAACATCGTGTTGTGAAGTAAGTCTTATTTGTGTTTTCTCTTTTGCTTTATTAATGACATTTTGCTTTGATAATGCTTGATTTTCGTATAACTGAAGAGTAAAGAATTTTGACTTCTACAGCTTTAATTAGTTTTTATTGTTGCACATGATTTAATTTGTAAATTTTCTCATGAAATATTCATTTCAGTGTTGATACAATAGAAAAGATGAAAACAAGATTGGGAACAATGGTCCGAGAAGCGGGTGAATCTAAAAGGCTTTTATGTGTTACGGAAAACATTCCGAGTTGTAGTGGACAAGCTCATCTTTACTGTATATGTTATACACTGAATAATGTAACTTTTTATGAACTTAAACTCTTAGTTATCTTAAAAGTGCCCATTTAAGCATATCTTGCTAAAATAATCATAGCATTAGTTGCCGATAAATTTTGAATATTCAGATAAATTGTATTTAAAAATCGTCTGTTGCAGCTCATCCATGAAATTTTCGAAGAGTTATGCGATCAGAGACACAATGTGTTTGCCATTTTTATGGAATGCCAGAAAATAGTTGGTAATCTTCCTTAATTTACTTTATTTTCAGGAAGAATATCGTCGTAAATTCTCAGAAACATAAATTGCACATTTTTGGGTTATAAGTTAATCTTTTGATTTGTCTGTCATCTATTTACTTTCTTAGCTCATAATTTCTCTTTTTAGCTGCGATAGAAAAGTTGGGCTTAGATCGTTGGATTGATCCACCAGTTGAAAAAAGGGCTGGACAACTTGATTACTTATTTTATGGTTATGAAATCTTAAAGTACGTTAAAGATTGCGTTCAGCATTTGCCCATTTCACAATATCCAGGTATTCCTTGTTTATAATCACTGTTTACATTTTCTTTCGTTTTAATTGCCTAAAATATCTCATACATAGTAATTAGTAACTATATATTGTTTCGGATTTAAATTAACTCGAGAATAACTTGTTCTCATCGGTACTACTTAATGTAAATAGCATTTGAATAATATACAAGACTTGAATATCTCGTGTTTGCCATTTCAATATTTGTGGTTATCTCTTAGTCAAACGCTGTTAATTATATAGCATTTTATGTTACTGAAATTATCACTATCAAGCTATTTATTGTAATGGAAGTACTTAGCAACCATTTAGATATTATGGTACTGGTACGATCGATTGATTGGTCAGTTGCTGATGAAATACGAAAATATTTGGAACCATTTCATATTATGGCATCAATTTTCAATAATAAATCAACAATATCTTTTCATATGGTAATAACTAATATATCACTCCTTCTAAATTAGAAATTTAAATCACATATCTCAATGTGCTTAGTAACTGATGTATGTTGCTGCATTTCTGAATTTCATATACTTACTAAACTCAATTGGTTTATGACGAATTTTCTTTATCAGGTGCAACCAGAATGGTTCGCATTGATTCATGAATTCTCATCAGATGATGACGGTGATGTGAACAATAACGATACATTGAGCTGGGCATGTGCGCTGAGACGGAAAACGGAAAATGTATTAAGAAGTGCTACGGAATCAGTAATTATGCCGGAGCATCGTATGGCAACTGTGTTGAATCCTCGTCTCAAACATCTTCCAATTATTTGTTCAGACGAAGAAAGGTTTTTTTTTTTTCGTTTTTCGGAATGTGATTTTTTATCTTTGAATTGATAGTTGTGAAAAATTTCTAACATCAAATAGATTTTACTTACTTCTCGCAGTGCAGGCTTCCTAAGTGTTCTACTATGTCATGTGAAAGCCATATTTTTAGATCACAAACTTACTCAAGAATACGGAAATTAATCGGAACATCTGAAATGAAAAATCTAAAAAGCGATGAATTTCTTTCTGGTAAAGTTTGCAGTTCATCTTGCTTTTAAGTAATTAACATATCCGGTTGATAAAGTTTATAGTTTAAAATAAAATTTAGGTACAAGTGATGGAGAGCCACCAAAGAAGCGAATATCATTTTTGAGCTCACTAGAAGATCATGCAGTTATTGATGATGAATTGGAGTGTTACTTACGTTCGCAGTATCCAGCATCTCAAACAAAGTTTGCTTCTGTTTCTGTTAAATTATCGGTTTCTTTATTTACGTATTTATTCGACAACCAGTTTATCTACTTCTTTGTATTCATTCGCATTATTTATTTAAAATAGTTTGCAGGTACATCAAAGTTATAAAAAGATTTATCAAATTTTAATTTTAATTTCTCCCCCGTCTTCTAAATGATTAATTACAGAAAAATAGTTCATTTCCAGAATAGCATGCCAACCCTTTCTGTTAACGCTGAGTCGATTAAAATTCTTTTAGAGATGTGCTGCAGTTTTGGTCCACTGTTGGTCAGGCGCAATTTCCATATTTGTCGCTGTTGGCTCGATTTCTTCTTTCCATCCCAGCTGCTTGTGTAGTCCATAAAAGTCAGAACGTTTTGAAATTAACTCCGGAACACCTGTCAAGCTTACTTTTGTTACGATCATCATATACGCAAACAGTTTCTGGTGGACAAAGTCTACTTGCTTAACAAATATCCGTATTTCCTTTTCTTTTTTGCTCTTCAATATTTTGAATTGGTATCAACTGTATTTGTTTATGCTTTCAGTTCTCTAAGTACTTTTGCCATATTTCGAAATTCTCGTTGTTTTCAGGTATTGTACGGTTTATTTTTTTTTAATTTATCATTTATCATTTAGATTTTTGCTAATCTTCCGTGACAACTGTTTTGTAAGATATATAGTATGTCAAAAGAACTCATGGATTTTTCCCTTGATTAGCAGTCATTATTAGATATCCTGGTGAGTGATTCATATCGTCCTGCCTGTTTCATTTTTTCTTTTTTTCGAACATACTCTCTGTATTTTGCCACACTGTGATCTCATGTAAACTTCATTTTTAATTTACCGTAATTTATGAAATGTTTTTTGTCAGATGCCTTAGTTCTGTGATGGTGTTAGCGATGCACATGTAAGTGGTATGTTAATATTGAAATTTTATTAAAAGTATTTCAAGATTAACTACAACCAAAATTTTCAAAGAAATAAATGTTTTAATATACTTCTATACATTGATTATTTTACGACCTTTAGCTAATTGCAGCAGAAAGGAAATGTACAAGTTTTAGATCGCTGATGTATAATGGAAATTGTTACATCAGTTGGTTGTCACCATAGACGGAATGTTTTCTTTGCAATCTGAGTAGCTTGGAATGCTGATTCCAGGCAGCGAAATCAACACGTTACCGGGTTTCAAAGCCACGTTACTTATGTGTCTGTGAGATTTCGCTGGTGGCTAAGGAATGAATGAGTTCCAATGAATCCAGTTCTAAAATATTCGCATTTACATATTATACTTTCTTCTTTGTATAGATTCTCAACTGCATGTGGACATTTTGCTAAGGTAGTTTTATCAAATTCTGAATTGGCTTAATCTGTTCATATAGTATCTACAAATCTTATGAGCCTTTATGGTTTACAAAACTTTTAGAAGAATCGTAAGTGACATCGTTTCTAGTTTTCTTTATGTAGTTAGGAAATATCATTGTAAGCTTACATCATTTTTTGATAAAGAGTTTATCAAGTATTCAGGCAAGAAGTTGGAAACACTTGGCGCATGGTGCTTCAGTTCCGAAAATGCAAACAGTGAATCGGGATATTTTTGCCATAAATAAGCAAAATTTCGATTATTTCCTTATTCTCGATTTCGAAGCAACATGTGAAGAAGGAATGAAAATTATGCCCCATCAAGTAAGACTTCTCTGCATATAGTTTATACTATTCAGTGAAGTATTCAAATTAAAATTACATGGTATATTTCAGGAGATAATCGAGTTTCCTGTCATACAGCTATCCGGGAAAAATTTGGAAGAAGTTGGTCGATTTCATCGATATGTGAGACCAACCGAACGACCAATTTTGACATCATTTTGTACTGACCTTACTGGAATTGTACAGGTACATTAACACTACATTTGTTTTCCGATTGCACAAAGATTTATTTTTGCTGAAAATTTGAATTTGCTAATTATAATTTGCTATAAAAATTCTTCTTAGGAAACAGTAGAAAGTCAGGAGAGTCTTCCGGAAGTTCTAAATGCTTTTGATGAATGGCTCTTGGATTTGAATTTGATTAATACCGATCATTCGATGAAGTCACTTTTTACTTTTGTAACATCTGGTGATTGGGATCTTGGTGTATTGCTTCCCAGCGAAGCAAATTATAGAAATTTGGAGCTACCAGAGCAAGCCTTTTAATGATTTGTTGGCTTAAATATTATCGTTTTTAAAAAAGATGATTTTTTAAACAGATTGTTTTCGGCGTTGTCGTCTAATTTCACTACGTTTGTTAGCAGTGTCACAATTACCATATGAGAAATAATCTTTCTGAGCTAGGCTGGAATACCCTAGGTTTGATCATAGTGCATTTATTTGGTAAGCTCCTTTCATTGTGAAATTTTTTATTTTATGAGTTAATCAGATTTTAGATACTTCAAAAGATGGATCAATTTGAAAAAAGCCTTCTGCAAATGTAAAGGTTATTTCGCCAAGTCTCTAGCGGTAATGCTTCGTGATTTAGAACTAAATCATTTGGTATGCTTACTAAATTTTGATTGCTTATACTGTTTTTACCTTATTTTCAAATCTTCATGCTTAAGGTTGTATATAAAATCTAAACTGATTCTTTGATTATTTCCTATTGTTTTTTTTCTTGTATTGAGCAGTTATGTTACCCTTTCCAAAGTAATCTTGCAATCCTATCTGCTTATAGGGATAACTAAGTTATCTTTATCATTTCACATTTCTATATGGAGAAAAGTTAACTTTCACTCTTCAGGGTCGATTGCATAGTGGAATAGATGACGTGAGGAATATGTGTCAGATTACAAGATCTCTTGGCAAGAGTGGTTACGTATTCCAAAATACATCGATTTATATAGATGAGAAACATACTTTCGAAAATTTGTAACGTATATATATATATATATATATATATATAGTAAAAAACATGACTGTTCGAGTCCTCTGAAAAGATTCTAGAAAAGACTCAGGAATAGAAAATATTTAATTTTTTTGTTGAATAGTGCCCACAAACTTGCTTTATGCGCACGATTGAAGACATCATTCAACATGTCGAACTAGCAACAATGAAGGTAGAATCATTCAAATTAGAAAAAAAAGCCCATACAGGTGAGATCAAACAATGTGGTATCCTTTTGCAAATTTTTCAGAGCGCGCTTTTCTTTCTGTACCACTGCTTGTACGTGAGGTACGACGTATAAGTGAACGTGGGCGTTTCTAAAATATGATTTTACGTGAAGAAAAAGTTCCTTATTTCCAAAAAAAGAGTTTGAAAAAGTTTTGGAGGAAAAGCTCTCCCAAAAATTAAGATTTTTCATCACTCACACTTATTTCGATCATTTTGTAAAATATTACCGATATTTTTCCAACAGCTTGATACTTTTGCGAATTAAAATTCCAAAAATGGCATATCATTACTGCATTGAGAATAAAGCAGACACCTAAAAAGAACTACTGGTGATTAGTGGGGTAATATTTGTTTCTACTGTGAAATGCATTTTCATGTAATGTGCTATATCATAATAGAGAAACAGTCGTAAAATACTTCTGACGAAATGTGCAATTCAAGAAAAAAGAACAGCAAATGATGATCATAAGGAGCAGTGAGAAGTATTATCAGAAGTTGAAAAAAAATTATAGTATTAATTAGGATATTTCAGTAAATCTTAACATGAGAAAAATTAAGTGAAGTGAATTGATGGTTGGTGTTGTCAGTCTTTTCTATCTTATTGGCATATGACTGGTCAATTTACAATCCACAGTTTGATAACTACTTTAAAAAAAGCATAGAATTCAATAAAAAAAAAAAAAAAAAAAAGAAATTATACATAGTATACGCTAGATGCAATACTAACCAATAGCAACAGAACATAAAAGCATCATCCCACTTAAACCATTGACAAGACCTGTACGGCTTTTCATTTTGCTAAGATGATCAAGCCAAATGCCCGTTGTTATCACTGATAACAAATTTCCCACAGCTGATATAATGCATAGTACAAGCCACATAATGAGCATCATTTTCCATCGATACCTGAAATTAACTTTGATTTCCAAATTCAATTTCATATTTCACGTACAGATAAAACCGGTAGGGTGTTCATTTTGCTAAGATGATCAAACCAAGTGTCCGCTGTTATCACTGATAACAAACTTCCTGCAGCTGATATAATAATGATCCTTTTACATAGTCTTTAAAAGATTGCTAAATAATCATTGAAGGAATTACTTAACAAATAATTGATCAAATCTTTTACCTATGTACAACACCAAGTCCTATGCAACCAGTGGTAGCACCAACAACTGCAGCTACCACATTCATATGACATGTTCCCTGATAAGCAGATTCTTGAGCAAAACCTGGACATGTAAAACCGTGAATCAGAAATCCCAACGATACGACTATTTCAACGCGACATAAATTAATCATCACTGACAAATAACTGAAATTAAAATTACAAGCTTTTAAAATTCACAGAACATTTCAGAGGCGGTCTTTTTTTTACTATTACTGATAATGTTTATTTAATACGGATTATATATAACAGTCGGTTGTTCCGATAGAATTTTAACTAGGGCATATAAATGATCAAATCTGATATTTCATAGCATATTTTTATCAAAAAAATAAAATATATATCTTAAATTTTTTTTCGCCCTAAGGAATAAAATTTACATAGTAGAATGAAAGAATCTGCTTTCCTGCTTTTAATTCTAATTTCATTCTTTTTAATTTTGCATATACTTTTTTTGTTAAATCACAGAGTCTAACTTATTCAAAAAAAAAAAAAAAAGCAAAATATGAAAACTTGCTCGGTATGCTGAAATCCGGATTTCTGCATCACTGTATACGCTTTGTAACGTCTCATTCGTGTTTTCCCTTCCTCTAACAAGACATCTTCATCAGTCTCAGAACTCTGAAAATATTTCAAACATGCAAAAAAAAAAACCAAATATTGTGTGAATTTTCCATTCAAATGAAATAGTAACTTCAGAAAGTGAATTTTCCACCGTTAATGTAAAAGTAGAAAAAACATACATCAATCAGTGAGAGAATATTTTTGAATGAAGAAATTAATAAATATAACAACAATTTCATATTTTCATAATCTAATAGCTATATAAAACTGATTAGTGAGAAAAAAAATGTTATTTCAATTGATTTTTTTTTTTTTTTTTGTTTTTAAATTGGATTTTTTCAAATTTGATAACAAATTAATGATTAAAGCAAAGGATTTAAATGGATGAAATTTCAATGAACTAACAAATATGTTCAAAATGGAAGAAATAATAAAAGAGAAAATTGAAGAAAAAAAAGAAGAGAGAGAATGAAAAAAAAGGGAAAAATGTTTCAAAAGAATTTAAACAACATTCTCGTTAATGGAACAGTTTAAGCAATTCTGGTATTGAAATGTAAGAGTTCACCATTTGACTGGCTGCCTTGTGCACAATACGTAACGTTGGATCTTCAAGCGTTTTTAGTAATTCCATCTGTTTTTATGTTCGGTTATTGACAGAAAACAAGATTTTAGGAAATTAAGTGTGCAGAGGGACTGTTTCGAGCAGCAATCATCGTCATTCCATCATTGATCAAAATTTTCCCTGAAAATTATTTCTCATTTTCCTTTTTTTTTTCCTTTTTTGTTCCTCTTATTTTAAATTTACTAAAGTTTTCGAATTGAAACAAATATTATTCGAAATTATCAATAAGAAAAAAAATGTGTATTATCATGAATACAGCAGAAATAAAAGATCGGAATGAAAAGACAATCAGAAATGTATGCGCTGTACTTCGATGGTTGTCAGTAAGATAACAATGATTTACAAAGTGGGAAGTGAGAAAGGGAGAGCAGTAGGTAACAGAGAGACAAATAGGGAAAGCGATAATTAAATTAATCAGAAAGGTATTGTATTTACGTCATTTTTCAACTTTCATTTTGCAAAAAAAGGAAAAAGAGTTGACATAAATCAAATTCCTAAAGCAAGTAGCCGAAATTTTTGCAAAATTAGCCAATAGGTAATTAATTTTAATCTTTTGTCATCTCTAAAGACAATAGAATGAGCAAACAAAATTTAAATATGTTATAGAAGTTATAACTTCGTTAATATACTGTTCGTTGCATTACCGAATTTAAGCGTGATAAGTAGACAAAGATTACAGTACTAGACTTGACAAAATGCGCAAATAGACACAAATAGATTTTCGTCTCTGCATAACTGATGAAAAAGTATTGCAAATTTATTCGTTTTCATTTGCCTTCTTGAAGTACTAGATGGGTTAGGATAAATTTTAGGAAATTCAAATTTTGAATATATCAAATTGAAGTTTCAGTTTGAGCTTGTTACAGGATAAATATTTAAGCTATTATATATCAAAATGACCAGATTTGACTTGATTAATCAGTTAATGATTAATAGTTAATTAACAGACAGGACATTTTACTGTAATGGCGCAATTGTATCATAGATATATTCTCTCTAATCCTATGACTAAATGATACAATCCGTATTTAATCTATTTACATAAGCATTAATTGAAGAAATATATTTGAATAAAATAAAATTTACAAAATATTTCGTTTATCCACTTCTTCCTACTTGAAAATGAAAGAAATTCAAATATCTTCTAATCCATTTTCATACTTTTTTTTGTTCCCATTTAGTAACAAATTTATGGGATCAACAAAAATCTACATAATGATCAGCTAGGAATGTTTTACATTATTTGAAAAAAATTTTTTGATAAAAATGTATAGATGCCAACCGCAACACAGAAAAAGAACTTTCTGCCCATCTGGTTGATTTTATTTCAGACCATCGATAAATGTGTGCCACAAAGAAATAAATGCTCGATGGAAAATGAAGATAATGGATGTGAAGAAGAGGAGGAAGTGACAGAAAAAAACTTGTTGAGGGAAACATCTAAAGAAACAGCGTTTACATACACCTTTGAATTTACCAAATAAATATATATTTCTTTTTTTTCTCCTTCTCCTCCCTTATTTTTATTATTACTGTTGTTTGATCAAAACATCGGTAATTTAAGTGCTAAAAATAGTTAAAAAAATTTCTTAAATCAATGTTAATATATTTTATTTGATGTTACAACAAATAATTAAACTTTTATAAAGAGTTTGAATTTGATATTTTATCAGAAAGGAAAAAAAAAAGACTATTAAATATGTTAAGCATAATCGTCTTTTAAAATATTATAAAGAGTTAAAAGTATGAATGAAATTGATTAAAAAATAAACACTATTCTAAATTTCATGTAGCTTATGGAATCTTTAACAAAAATTTTCGAAACTATCATCTTATATATCAAAGTATATTGATCTACTAGTGTATTTTTTTTTTTTTTTTTGAATAATAACTCAAAAAAGTGGCCTACCATATTTTTATCTAATAGAAAAAGAGGTTTTAATTTTTTCATCTTTTATTTCCAAGAGATGACTGTTTGTTATTTGAACTATGAATTAAAATTATTTGCTATTTCAACTAAATCATATTTGATTATTAGTTTATTTGTTGAATTACACTATTCAAAAATAAATTATTACTTGAACTGTGAATTGAAATTATTAATTAATTATGTTTATTATGATTTATTTAAGAATTACATCAAATGAAAAAGTAATAAACAGTCAACCGCTAGTTAGGGAATGTGATAAAAATATGAAGAAAATGTTGGCATAAATGAGAGTGCTCCAATTTTGATAATATGAGGAGTTAAATTCACCAAAATGAGGTCAATTGACGACACACATTGCTATCAGTCTTCTTCCATTCCGTCGTATCACTTTTTCTTCCCACATTTCTCAACCTGCACCTGATTTTTTTTTTTTCTTAAAATATCACTAACAGTATCCTGTATAATACAATGATATG